ACCACAAAAACTTCTTTTGTTTTCTCTCCTTGTTGTTTATCACGTCATTCTGCTTTTTTATGTCTATCTGCCTTTTTCTAAGTTGTTGCCTAAATTTAGGTCCAATACAAGACCTGTCTTGTCCCCTACTCAGTCTTCTAAGAAGTCAGATCTTGTGCAAGTTATTTATTTATTCTTTTTTTAAAAATTGATTTCAGAGAGGAAAGGAGAGGGAGAGAGAGATGGAAACATCAATGATGAGAGAGAATCATTGGTTGGCTGCCTCCTGCATGCCCTCTACTGGGGATGGAGCCTGCAATCCGGGCATGTGCTCTGACCAGAATCGAACCCATGACCTCCTGGTTCATAGGTCCACGCTCAACCACTAAGCCACACCAGCTGGGCTATTTATTTTTATTTATTCTTCCAGTGACTGCTAATCGTTGCTCCCACTACTGAAACCCTATTCCCCCAATGCTGGAACTCTTCCCATTGCCCGATTCTTCAAAGTCCTCGATTACTACCCTGGCTGGTTTGGCTCAGTGGATAGGGGGTGGGCCTGCGGACTCAAGGGTCCCTGGTTCGAATCTGGTCAAGGGCACATGCCCAGGTTAGAGGCTCGGTCCCCAGTAGGGGGTATGTGTATATATATATGTGTACTAGTATATATAGTTTTAGTATATTGACCTTTAACAAATAGCCAGATATCTCTCCAGCACAATGTGTTTATTTGGGAACAACAAAGAATTGCAATTTGGGACCTGTGGCCTAATGGTGAACCATGTGCAAGCGCAGAGAAACAAGAGGAACACACTCTTGTATGGACATAGGAGGGAGTGTTGTAAAGGACGAATCCATTGGAGGAAATTGAAAGCTCAAAGTATAGTGACTTCTCATTGGCTGAGTTTGGAGGCCTCCCGTTGGCGGAGCTGTTACCGGGCCGGGAGGACCCTTTTCCTCCTCCAGCTTGGGTGGGAGGAGTATGTTGGAGGTGCTGGTGCGCGTCTCCCTGTGGGGTCAGTAGTGAGCTATGAGAGACACGTTGTGTTAGAGTTCTCCCAGCCTCCCCACTCCATTGCAATGAGGGTTTTGTTGATTAATTTTCGCAGGATTATAGCAAAGCTGAAAGGGCTGGCAAATAAAAGTTGATGAGAGTGAGAGGGCAGATCTGAATAGTTCAAAGGAAATTCCCAGCTGTGTTTTGACTGCTGTGAGAGGGCAGATCTGTATAGTTCAAAGGAAATTCCCAGCTGTGTTTTGACTGCTGTGCTCTGGTGATGGGAGGTGGCGGCCCATGGCGCACGTGGCGCTGGACAGGGCGTCCTTGGGAGAGGCTGAGACTGAAGAGAAGCAGGACCCACGGGTGTTTTCTGCTCTGACACAGCGTTTCGGGAGAGAGTTACATAGCAATGGCGTACGGCGTCAAGAACATTATTTGCATGCGTTTCAACATTGGAAGAGTTCAGGCCTGGCTGCATGAAGCCTCCCTCCCCAGAAAGCAACCAGGCCTCTTTTTCCTGCTCTCTTTCACTCTCCAGGGGGACGTGGCTGCTCTCCTGGACACTAGCCTCAGGCCTGGCACTGGAAGGCAGCCAGGGCCAGGAGCCATGAATTTAACCACCTGGGAAGCATTTAAAAATGCTGGCCCATTGATGGTATTAAGCTGAAGTTCTTAGAGTCCTAAAGCAGTGGTTCTTAAACTTTTTGGGTTTTGGGTCGCTTTGTGTTAGAAATGATTGAAGATACCTGGGCCACATCTATCAACATCGACCACACTGGAAATGAAAGCGGAGAGCAGTTTGAAACACAAGAACGCGCACGCCTATGTGCCATGAACTGGGGAAGGAGGAGTCAGGCAGCCCCTGCACAGCAACGCTGTACACTGAGAGAGAAGAGTGGGAAAACAATCAACATCTTAGAATTACGATAAAAACAGCTTTGACACTGTGACCACTGAGAGTGTCTTGGGAAAGCTCAGGGATTCTCAAACTACACTTTGCCCTTCGTGGTCTATGAACAGAATTCAGGAGATTTGAGATCTTACTTAGATGGGGGAAATTATATCTTGTTTTCACTAATTTCTGGTAGAAAGTTATTATTTCCTCTCCTTTCTAATGTAGGCATAATCCACAGCAGTAGCAGGAGTGCCTGTGACTTTGTTACCAATAGAAATCACAGATGTGCTCATAGCGTATCAAGTTATTGCAGATACAGTGGGGCATTGACTTACGAGTGTCCCGACTAACGAGTTTTTTGAGATACCAGCTGTCTCTCGGCCGATTTTTTGCATTGAGTTGATAGAGTAATTTGAGTTAACGAGCTCGGTCTCGGAACGAATTAAACTTGTAAGTCAAGGCCCCACTGTATTTAAAATTAAACTTTATGCTCCTATTATTTTGAAATTATGATAGACCTGCTGCTAGTTCTTGTTAATGTATTAACACACAGGCACCCATATTAGTATTTTATCATTTCAAATTACTTTCTTAACTGTATCTATAATAATAAAAGTGTAATATGATAATTAGACCGGAAGTCCTACCAGTCAAAGCCGGAGCTGCAGGGAGGGAGGGATCCAGGCAGCCACCAGGACTGCGAAGGCCTACTCTTGCTCGAATTTCGTGCATCGAGCCTCTAGTTTTTATATAATCAATTTCCTATACAATCCTATGTTTGTATTTTATGCATTTTTTAAAAAACAACAAGAATTTATTTTCATGATTACATGTCTTGTAGATTAGCTGGAGTTTGCCTCATACAGGCTGGCCTCAGCCCCAGACCGGAGGGTCAGCTCAGGTCTTCTCTTTCTGGGCCTCATGATCATGGGCAAGAATCTCCTCAGAATGAGTGTTTCTCATAATGGATTAATTGACCACAGGAGTGCTAACACAGCTTGTATTTTACACATTTAAGAACAATATTTTGAGCAGAGCCTGGTGGCACATAAAAGGTTAAGAACTCTCAATATTTCAAGGACCTTAGAAGGCATCCAGCGTGTTGTACTCATGGAAGTGGGATGTGTGTACCGTGCATTGATTGGTTAGCATCCCAGTGATACACTGAGATCAAGAGATTTTGAAAGGTCAGCAAGGAAGTGTGCTCTGGTTGGGTAAATCCACTGTTGGCAGGCGGTGTATAGCTGACACTTCATTCTGGATGATCCTAATGCAACCTTCAGAATTGGATAACCTAGCAGTTTGAAGAATAATCCATCTTGTGTTTTCTTAGAGAGTCAGAAATAGCCTGTTGGCTTCAAAAACTTGTTCTACTTGGTCTGGCATTATGAAACCTTCCCTGCAACCAACTCTGAATTGTCAACACTTATGAATGAGTGGGTCATGCTCAAAAGGATTCTAAGTTCAATAAATAACCCAAACGGAGGAATAAATCAATAAAATTGAGACTGTTCTTTTCACTCGTTGGAATAAGGTAGTTGCCTTTTTTTTTCTGGGCAGTTTGAGAGGCAGAAGTGGAAAGTGATTCTGAAGGGACATTGACCTCACCTTTGGGTCATGCAATTCATCTTCATCATCCTTAGATAGTCTCTGAAAAGTAAGCTCTTTGAAGATGTTATGATGATGGAATAAAACAGAGCACTGTATTAAGAGATAGATGACTTTAGTTCTTGTTCTGCCTCTAATTAGCTGTGGGATCTTGGGAGAATTTCTTGGCTTCTATATCTCAGTGCCCTTATACTACAGAGCTTCTCCAGCACAAATACACTAGTCCCCTTTTCTGTTAGAGATAGACACAAGACCCCCAGTGGATGGCTGAAATTGTGGATAGTACCAAACCCTACATATCATGTTTTTTCCTATGCATACATATCTATAATAAAGTTTAATTTATAAATTAGGCACAGGAAGAGATTAACAACAATAACAACAATAGAACAGAACAGTTATAATAATACACTGCAATAAAAGTTATGTGAATGGCTTTGAGACTATTATGAAATAAAAAGGGTGGTGTGAACACAAGCTCTGTGATGCTGCTACGCTTGATCTCATAACTGAGACAGCTACTAAGTGACTAACAGGAAGGGATAGCATGAAATTTCATCACGCTACTCAGAATGGCATGCAATGTAAAATGTATGAATTGTTTATTTCTGGAACTTTTCGTTTAATGTTTTTGGATCATGGTTGAATGCAGGTAGCTGAAGCAATGAGCAGTGAAACTATAAATACATGTGTCTGCTATTGTCTATAATTCCTAGTAATTTGGGAATGTATTAATTAATTTGTTAATTAAAATTTACTGTGTACCTATTTTGAGCCAAATGTGATATTAAATACTGAGGATGCAAAAGAGAACATGGTCCTTGCCCTCAAGGAGTCTATAGTTTAGATTTTAACCAGAAAATGAGGATTCATGTAAAATCCACTTTCCAGAGATAACAGATTAGAAATTCCATGAAGATTGTCATTTCACATTCACATAGCATCAATAGGGTAACTCTTGGTATTAATTGGAACCTAGGAGAGAGTAGTCCCTGCACCTCTGTCTGTAATGAGCTTGCATTCTTAACCAACCTTTACCAACGGCCTGAAATGTATGGGGCACTATACTAGACCCTGGACCACAGGCCCCTTACCCTGCAGAGGTTCATGGGGCAAAAAGATAGAAATAATTAAGGTGATCAGGGCTCTAATGGAGTATGCTCACGGTATTTTGCGTGTACAGAGGAAGGCACACCTGGCCTAGTCAGATGCTGGTAGCTGTAGGAGCTCAGGGAATGCTCTTTGAAGAGCTGGCATATCTAGACCTTGAGGGTTGAGTAGTAATTTGTAAGGCGGAGAAGTGTGAGAATGCCAGAATGATCATGATTTGGGATCTGGCCTGGTACATTAGGCCATTTCAAAATTTGAATCTCTGAGCTCGGGAGATATCTTTTAAAGCCTTGATATAATATCGAAAATGTTAATGATGAGTTGGTTGGGTTTTTGTTTCTGATGTAATATTTCATTTGTAACTTTCCCTTTAATGTTTGTGTGCGTGTGTTTGTATATGCACTTTAGAAAAAACACCCAAGTTAATGCCTGATAAAGAAAGCATGTATTACCCACGGGTACAACACTATCGGGAACTGCTCGACTCCTTGCCAATGGATGCCTATACACACGGCTGCATTTTGCATCCGGAGCTAACCGTGGACTCCATGATCCCAGCTTATGCAACAACAAGGATTCGAAGTATGTAAAAATCTTAAAGACCTGAATTCTGTCCTGAGTTTTTTTTTAATTCGTTTAAGATCTAGCCTATCTCATGAGCATTGAGAGGAGATGGGAACAGAGTTGTTGAGTTTGCTTCATGGACGGGCATGTGATAGATGGACCATGCACCCAGGATAATCTGTGCTTCAGCTGTCCAGCTGGACATTTATGGTCTATAGGTCCTGATCTCCCAGCTCTCGGCTTTGAGGGCCAAGTTTGGATAAAACTCACAAGAGTGACCTGTGGAAAAGTAAAGACCATGACGTGTTCTCATGGACAGCTGGACCGGGAATCAGGAAAGCTGGGATCTGTGGGGAACAGAGGCAACTGAGTTCACATTTCTGGTTCTTCCCTTTCATTATGTGAGGGAGCCAAACTTCAGGCTGTTTCACCTTTACTCTAAATCCAGTGATTGCAGAATTACAGAGCTTGAATTGAGCCGTCCAGCTCTCTTCCATCCTGTCCTGCCCGAGGAAGGAGTAGGGTTGCTACATGAGGTGTAGAGCAGCAGAAGGGTGCGCTGTGGCATAGTAATTGGGGACAAGAAAATTGGGGATGGTGGTTGTGGTCAGACTCTGTGGATGTCTGACTAGAAACACACACCTACAGCTTCTAAACCTAGAAACAATATTCTTTCCAAAAACCAAGCCTCACCTTTATCATTCTCTTATGTTATTTTTCTTTCTTTTTGGTACCTCTCCTCCTCCCTCTTCTCCTCTCCCTTCCCTTCCCTCCTCTTCTACACTCTCTTTTTCTCCTCTCTCTTCCTGCTTCTCACCTTCCTCTTGTTCCCCCTCCTTCTCTTCATAAGGACTCGTCTGTGATTTGAAACAAGTATTCTGATAGATACAATTCTGTCACCTAGAATTTGTATATGTATTTTAAATAAGGCTTTGCCCTCCTCTTCATATAGAAGTTCCTTACAGAAAACTTGAAAGGTATGGGAAGGTAGCGCAAGTACCCTGCACCCAGCATTTACGACGTCTGGGCCTTCCCTCAGCTCTTTCCAGGCGCTTCTCACTGAATCCTGCCCCTGAGCAGGTACTCTGATAGGCCCACGTTAAAGGTGACGAAACTGAGGCACAGAGAGGGTGAGCCCGAGGCAGAGGCAGGGCCTGAGCCCCTGAACTCCTGCTCTTACTGTCGAGTTTCCCGCTTCTCCTTGTTTCTCACACAGAAGGAAGGAAATAATTTTCTGTTTCAAAAATGATTTCCTTATCAGGCCAAATTGGTAACACAGAGTCCGAACTAAAGAAACTTGCTGAAGAAAACCCAGATTTGCAGGAGGCCTACATCGCAAAACAGAAGCGCCTGAAAGTGAGTAGACCAGGTGTCCTCAGCTGACAGCCACTGTTTGTGCTAAATGTTCTACCGTTAGCACTGTTTCTAGAACATCTCCTATTAAAGATCGCAGGTCCCCAGCACACCATTTACCTGTGGCTCATGCTTTGCTTTCAGAAAGAATTTTTCTTTAGTTGGCTTGATATTCAAACCTAACAACAGCTGCTTAGACAGCGGATATTGCGCATGCTGGTTCCCAAGCACAGTTCCAAAAGGTAAGAGCAGGTGAACAACACATTCGAGGTACTCTGCGCGTCAGGCCTAGGCTGCCCTCTGTCTGTGGCTTATCTGCCTCCTAAGGGCTTCATCAGTTACAGTTGACCTCTCTCTCTCTTTTTAAAAAGAAAGATTTTTATTGATTTCAGAGAGGAAGGGAGAGGGAGAGAGAGATAGAAACATCAATGATGAGAGAGAATCATTGATTGGCTGCCTCCTGCATGTGGGGATCGAGCCCGCAATCCAGGCATGTGCCCT